TTTTTTTTTCTTTTCTCCTTTTTTTTTTTTTTTTTTTTTTTTCTTCTGTCTTTTCAGCATCATTGATAAAGATTTTCGCTGGATTTTAGCCTGTTTTGAAACTTTAGTGACTTTAAAGTAGAACTTAGCGTCAAACGATAGCAAAAATTTTAAGTTGAATCTAGATTTAATTTCAGAGGTGAAACCATACGTTTGGATAATAATTACTATGATGTCAAATTGAACTATCTAAGATACATTTATTACACAGGGCGTCTCGAATTTCTGTGTGTTCCACAAGTGAAATTAAAATTAAGATCACGACATTAAGTTCGTTTATTATAGAAATACTAATTACTAAAAATATAAGTGTTTCACTTGCCGATTTAATTTACGTGTATTTTTGTTTTATATTAATAAGATATATTATATTAAAGAATCATATAAAATTTTAATTTATTTAAAATTGTTTAATGTGTTTATAATATATATAAAATTTTATATACTTTAATATATTATATTAAAGAATTATATAAAATTTTAATGTATTTAAAATTATTTAATATGTTTATAATATATATAAAATTCTATATACTTTAATATGTTATATTAAAGAATTATATAAAATTTTAATGTATTTAAAATTATTTAATATGTTTTATAATATATATAAAATTTTATATACTTTAATATATTATATTAAAGAATTATATAAAATTTTATTTTATATTAATAAGACTATATTATACTAAAGAAGATAATGAGAGTCACTTTTTACACCTTGATGTAAATAATAGTTTTTTACTCGACTATTCTTTATATTATTCAGCTAATCGAGACCATGGTAGATCTAATTACCTAATCTACGTAAAAATGAAAATTTTTAATGATCTTCGAGGCGTTCAAATGTTCAATAATTGTTTTCGACAATGAAAATGTCAATGATTTTCCACATTGATGCATTATACGAAAGCATCTTTGCAAAAAAGAAACTCGAGATTTGCGTGACGGAGGTTTTCGCGCTTTAAAAAAATGAGAAAATTTAGATTTTTCAGATTTTTTTCCTCCGATGCTCGATATGGCTAGCTAATTCGATCATTTGGCCATTTGGCTGGCCTTCGACACGAACTCGACGAAATTCACCCTTCGGCGAAAGGTTCGTTAGTTAACCGTGTTAAAAAATAGCTGCCAAAGTCCTTCGGGCGGCGTACTTGATGCGATGTCCTGTAGGATAACCTGTTGCCCCGTTTATCGTTTTACGCGCCGCGCGAAAATTTCATTACCGCGCTGATGCATCCGCCAGACGATAATTAAACGATAATTAATTCACCCTCCGGAAGGTCCGAGCCATCCATAGGCCATCGTGTTTCCCGTTATCAAGAATTCGACTCGAGTTTCTCATTAACCAACCACGATAGATAGATCGGATGACGACATCGAACTGCGAGTTTCTTTCTAATTAATTAATTCTTCGACGGTTCTAACCTTTAATCGGAGTCAATAATTGGTCGTCGGGTAATGTCATTAAAGGGGTCATATTTATTTTTCACAGACCGAGTTTGCAAAGAGAAATTTTCAACAATTTGAAGAAATTTAAAGATCTCGATCATTGAATATTTCTAGAATGGCTTGAAGTTGAAATACGAGACTTAAATTCTTAGAAACGTAAGTGCAACTCCAACTGGTCATTGGAAAACGCTAAATGGGATTATATTTATTTTTCTCGGTCCAAGTTTGGAAAGAGGAGAAAAGAAATTTTCAACAATTTGAAGAAATTTAAAGATCTCGAATACTGAATATTTCTAGGATGGCTTGAAGTTGAAATACGAGACTTGAATTGTCCAAAATGTAAATACAACACTAATTCACTATTCAAGGATAACAAATGGTCCCTAACTTGAATATTAACAATGATTAATTGCATAAAGTATTAATAATGGCAATCTAAACTTTGGAGTATCAACAATGGTAACTTAAACCTAACTTAAACTTGGAGTATCAACAACGAGCTACAAAATTTACAAAAGAATAAATTAAAATTCCATCAACAATGGCTCTAAATTGAAATACGAGGTTTACATTCTCAACAACATAAGTGCAATTCTAACTGATCATTCAGGAACAATAAATGGTCCCATATAAAACTTGGAGTGTTAACAAGGAGCTACAAAATTGACAAAAGAATAAATTAAAATTCCATCATCTTCAAAAATGGCTCTAAATTGAAATACGAAGCTTAAATTCTCAGTAACATAAGTGCCACTCTAACTGATCATTCAGGAACAACAAACGGTCCCATATAAAACTTGGAGTGTTAACAACGAGCTACAAAATTGACAAAAGAATAAATTAAAATTCCATCACCTTCAAAAATGGCTCTAAATTGAAATACGAAGCTTAAATTCTCAATAACATAAGTGCAACTCTAACTGATCATTCAGAAACAACAAATGGTCCCATATAAAACTTGGAGTGTTAACAAGGAGCTACAAAATGGATAAGAAAAAATAAACTGAAAAGAATTTTAACTGCACCGCTTCGAAAGAAGGAATAACTCGTCAGTTTCTCGATCTGTGACGATAATGAAACGAACGATGGGATCGACGACGATCCGTCGAGAAGAGAATCGAACAAGAGAAGTGAACGAGAGATAAACACATAGGAGGAGGAGGAGGAGGAGGAGAGAGGAGGAGAGACCGCGAGCAGCGTCGGGTCAGTTGCAATTACTGGAGCTAGACGGCTCGACTGGTAGGCACAAGTCAATTGTTAAATCGCCAAGGGGCCACGAATCGCTTCGAGCCGGATCCGTGCTCGCTTTGTGCTCGCATTATCTCGGTCATATCCTCTTTTCCGTCCGCGGCTACATAGTAGTATCGACTGACGACTCTCCGGGCCGCTGCTGCTAGCTGGAATCGTTCCAGTGACACACACGCACGTGCATGCATTCACACACCGACATATGCATTACACACGCGCAGAAATATTGATCGTTACGACGATGGAAAAGTAATTGTCGGGAGATTTCTGATCCCGTTCTAGTTCGCGTGGACGCGTGGCCTGCCTCTCGGCCTGCACCGAGTTTGTTCGTTTCACATCCGTACGAACAAATATTAAATCTCGTTTCGTTCCTCTTGGTGCAGCTCGCTCGTGCAACTTGTTTCCCTTGTTGTCTACGGAAATGACAAGATTGGAAGGAAGGAAGGAAGGATTTATTGTGATCAACGAAACGAGTCGATACAAACGTGTGTTGCAGATTTTTGCAATGGACAGTTTTTGCACTGTTTCAAGTCCTTATACTCATCTGTTCATCTATCTTTGAGTCTCTAGGTTTCTGACTGAAGAGAAATCTTAAAGTTTCGAATGTCTAAACTTTTAGTTTGGTTAGAGTTACTATTGTAGTTAAAGTTACTGGTCGGAGTCTCAGATAGTTCAAGGAACCTTCAAACTCATAAATTTCTTGCCTCCTGCCTAAAAGATCTTGCCTAAACTGTTAAATTCCGAGATTTTCAAATTCCTAAATTCCTAAATTTCTGAATTCTTAAGTTTCTAAATTGATGAATTCTTAAATTCCTGAATTCCTAAACTCTTAAGCTTCTTAAATAAATAATATAAATAAATTCTTAAATTCTTAAATTTCTGTACCTCTAAGCTCCTAAATTCCTAAACTCTTGAACTTTCTGCATTGCTACATTCCTAAATTTCTAAATCCCTGGATTCCTAAATTTCCTAAATCCTGAAATCCCTGAATCTCCGAAAATTACAAAAGTCCACAATCTAATTGAAACTAATTAAGACACTACAAACTTCTGCAAAAAAAAAAAGAAAAAAAAGAAACTAATAATCGATCAATTCATGCTGAAATTACATCTACGATCGTTTGCAACGAGTATGCCTTTCTGAACGAGCTAACTATACCAACATCCAAGGTTCAACTATAATGAAGAGCAAGTTTGGAATGTGTAATTGGTTCGACTGTCAAACTTTGGGAAACACGAGCGTCGAATCGTCACCGATAGTGGTGTTTACGTGTTGAGATCGGGCTAATCGCGGCGTTTGTATTGAGGCCTGGCTGTGAATGACAGCCAGATCCATTAATCAGCGTAAATTCGATCAGAAGTCACGAAACGACCCTCCTTCTGTTCCAACCCTCTCTTCAACTCTGAGCGTGTCACAATCACATGTTCAAAGATCGAAATCAACGAATCAACGAATTATCGAATACAACGAATCAACGAATTATTGAATGCAACGAATTATTTAATTAAAATATGCTGGTTGAAATTGACCGTGGAACTGATATTAGTTTTCGTTTATCGATGTATCTAAAAGTTCAAGAAAATGTCGAGTCTTTTTTTTTTTTCTATACTTATCCAAACTTTTTAACAGCCGAAAAGGTGCCCGTAATCACCAGAAATGCTATAATTGAAAAACGACGAATTCTCAAAGATGCAAGTTACTTACAGAGACAAATTACTTTTATTGCAGCAAGTTTTTAATTTCTCGAGATATTTATAATGAAGTTAAACATGTCTTTTGTTTCTATTTTTATTGAGATTTCTTGAACTGCAATTGAAATGTGAATTGGAACCATTTGGAAGTTGTATTTAGATTTAGAAATTATTGAATAATTGATTGTTTATAGTTTCGAGAGGAAAAGCGTAATATTGTTGAATCTTTCCTCTTTTATCATCGTAGAAATTGTTTGACTACATCGATAAATAGCGAAAAATGTTCGGTTGAAATTAATCAAAAAGTTATTTCCTATAAAAATATCTATCAGGAAGAACGTAAATCTATTAAAATTATATTTTCCTCGTTAATTGTTCATTCGTATTTTGAATCGAGTTTAATCTAATGACTGAGAAATTGAATAAAAAAAATTGCCAATATTTGACAACGTCGCTAATAATTTACCACATAGATGGATAATAACAGAGAATTTTGAATACGATTGACAGAATGTACAGAGTGATGAATTGTGCAATTCAAATAGTTACCGGTATATACAGAATCAGAAATTTCCAGTTCCATTTCGCGAAATTACTAGAAAATAATCAACTACGACCGGATAGATCTGCATTGCGTTGGTTTATCAATATGCCCGCACTCGAGCGTAATGAAACGTCGTTATTGATTATTGGTAATCCAATCAGCGGCATTATTCGCCAGCATGTCAATTAAATATTAATCAACCCGAAGTTAGAAAGAGACACTTAATACCTCGGACAATTTTAACGAATCGTTCTGTCGTTTCGAAGACTTTTTCTCCTGAGATTTCCCACTCGATGCGGTCGTAAAGAGAGAAGTGTTGAACGACTTTCTTAACTTGGCTAAATTCTTTGGATAATCGAAGTACGAAAACTAAATTTCAGCCATTCTATTCGAAACATTTCCCAGTACCTTTATATTGCAATCTTAAACTGTAATCTGAACCAAACAGTGAAATATTCTCCTTCTTTAAAATACCAAATCAAAGAAATTCGAACGTCGAGTACTGAAAAATCGCAGTGAAACGAAACCGAAGACAATCGAATTTGAATAATTCTGTTTGGGGGGAAGATTGGACAGAATTTTCGAACGCGAGGAAACAGGAATCGAAACAAAGGGTGGAAGACAACGCTGGAATCGTACCGTTCAATTTTCGTACAGCAGTCACGCTTCGTACATTTCTGGTAGACGAGCTTGCTTCGTCGAAGTTCGCCTGAATATTTGGGCAACGAGCAAGAGTATGTCAACAAAATTTGATGAGGCAAACTGCGACGTTCGCAGCCTGACGACCAGAAAACGTGGCCACATTCCGGAAATCAATAACACCGGGACAATTAAAAACTAAGCCAAGAGATAGTGATAGCGCATCCTCTCTGACAATACAACTTGGAATTGATTCAGAAAACAAAAAGAGAGAGAAAAACGAACGTTATCAACCTTCTCTGTCTTTTTTTTTTTTCTAAAAGGCTGCCACACAAATTGGTCAAAGGAACACGATGGCACTCACCTTTCACAGTCATGTTATCCCCGAGCTTCATTTCGGTGCTCACTGTTCCGGATGGTCCCACAGTTGGTCCAGCTGATTGGTCGTCAATCGAATTCTTTTTATATCGTTCGATGGCAACGCGAACGACCTCTTTCGCAATAAACGGTTACTCTTCCCCCTCCCTTTCTCTCTTACAAATGGTAAAATCACAGGTATCTATCCAATCACTATGAATCTCTCTCTAGGCGGTCCCTTTTTTCCACCGGCGAGCTTTTTTCGCCGTCGTTAAGCGACCAGCTAACGTGTCGGCGATCACACGTCTTACCCACGGCATGATTTACGTGGGTCGTTCCGCGGTTGGACAGTCGAATTATCAAACGCCCCAACATTCCAACAGCTTGCCGACACACGTGCCAATCGATAGATCGTTAGTACCTTCGATCACGAGCCTCGTTGATCGCGAACCTTTTGCTTCTTGCAAGGACATGATAAATTCTTCGAAATGGCGAACCTTCAGCATTGATTTTGTCTTGGTGGATTCACTGGTGGATCCTTGGTTTGTTTTCTCGAGTAGGATTGAAGGTTTATTTCAGGGAAACCTGGTGGAAACCTTCATCTTGGATCTGTAACGAAAAGGAAGAGTTGTATGATGAAGAGTTGTTTAAGTATCCAATTTTAGATTTCTAGGTAATTTTTCTACTATAATCAAGTGTTTCAATTAAAACATATATATATATATAATATTGTCTCTTTATACATTTCTCATCGATGAATATCCGGAGAAACTGGGCCACAGGAATTCAATGATCCTTCGGCTCGACCAAAGAGCACGGAATCATAATCCAAAAGCTTTGTTCCAAAGGAATTCTCGGAATTTAGTTCGTTCGCCATATATATATCTCGAAGGGATAAGGCGAATCTGTTCAGCTTTACGTCAGAATGACGTAATTTGTTGAGTATCAGGTGAAATTGAATATATGTACGATGAAACAAATGCTACGACGTCTTGAATTTTCGTCAACTAAACCTAATATTCAAAGGAATTAATCTTTATAGCTATTCAACTATGATATACCATAGACGAGGTATATGAAAGCCAAGATACTTAATGAGACGTGGTGTCACACGTTCTGAAATACCAACATGGTCACGAATCACTCATGTTTAGCACACTCTATATTTAAAGAACGGCGAATTGAAAAATTACAAGCAAAACGATCGTGCAGCGATTACTATAGAGAAATGTTTGAAATTTTCTATAGTGTACGTAGTAAATTATTTCGTGGAATAACGGATTTTGTTAATGTATCGTTCGTTTTCTTTCTTCTATTCGCTGTAGGTCATAAATAAAAGCCAAGACACAGCACCTGCATTTCAGGAGAAACGGCCGCGACAATTCCGCGCGCGTCCCCATTCGAAAATAACGTTATCCTTCAGGATTAAGTTCCGACGCGCTGTAACAGCAGCGCCTCTTATTCACCTTCGCCATCCTCCATTATATAGTTCCGATATCTTGACACGTTTTTCGTATTCCGCGCACGTTTCAAGTTGTTCGAAAAATTTCGACGAGCCTCGGTTAAAAGGGCAGGACAATTTGACGAGCCCAAAAATTACGAATACTTTAACCCTTTAGGAGGGCTAGTAAAAAAAAAAAGAAAGATTACCACGAGTAAACATCGTAGAAAAAATTGTCTGACGTTAATTGCGAAAAGAATTTGAAGCGAAAAGTAACTACGATTGTGGATGAGATGATTTTGAAATTAAACAATTACAGACTTGCTAGGAAATAAACTAGTCGTGCCCTTGATAGAGTAATTTAGCTAATCCAATTAGAAAGGGGGGCTCGAAACACTCGACCTTCAGGTGGCGAGCGCATATCCGGTGGAGACTTATCGAACCACGGCCGAGTATGCACGGATCAAAACTATTAGCCTCGAGGACCCTCCAACATCGTGTTCGGTGATTCTTTTTTTTTTTTTTTTCTTCCTTTGTCCTTAGACTCTGGCAGGAAGTACAGTCACCCTTGACAAAACGAGATTATATCGTGGTAAATCGATGGACAGATACACACGCGATGCTTGCGTCAAACGATCGGCCTTTGCACGGTTTTCTCCTCCTTTTGTTTTGACATTTGCCATCGGCAAATGAGTGCACCGAATGACGTAATTCATTGATAATTGAACGGAATTCGATCGACTGCCCCCCTGTAGAGCGTCATGCCGATTACGTTCGCCCATTTGTCGTCTTATTTTTATTATTTCATCTCCGACGATCGAACGGAGATCGCATCTCTGAATTAAAACAGCTGTAAGTACAGCTGACGAAACTCGACGTTTCTATTTTCGATCGTTCGTGGAATAGGTTAGGGGTTGAGTTTGAAGGATGTTTCGCAGAGCCAAGTGGTTATGCCTGGTACGATCTTCGAGTAACAAATAAACTTAACTATTGGGAATGAACGAGCGCAACCGAAAGGTATGATGAAATTTACTTTGTAGAAAATAAATACAGGTAGATAAAAATCAGCTCCAACATTTTTGCGCGAGGAATTCGTATTTGTGTCGTTTAAGTATTGGAATTTCGAGGACAGGAGGAGAAATTTGAAATATTATGAGGAATCGTGAAGATCATACCGTGTATATTTGTACATTTGTAAATTGAATGTAGGAAATAAAATTTTGGATATTTTTCATCAAATTCCAAAAAGAATGAGTGCAACTTTATCGTAAATTAATTTCGAAATGGAAACGCTCCTACTTTTTATTACTATTCTTTTGCAATGATCTCGCTTCTTTTAAGATAGTAGATAAAAAATTTTTCAGTTTAATTTTTAAAAGTTTTATCAAAACGTACATCTGTTAAAAAAGAGATATAATTTTTTAATAAAAGGTTTTTTGTTTCGAAGCACTCTAAAACAACGATAAAAACTGACCTTTTGATTTCATTTTTGTAAACTCCGTTACCTCCCATGAAATCGCAGATTTGTGAGGAAAAGAAGAAAATGCAACCCTCGCCTACGTATAAAAACCAACGCTCGCAGTTTTAAAAATTGATCCTCTAAAATTCTTCTCATCTGAAAGAAAAATTGGCATCAACGATCCGTCCAGTAAATTCCTGCTGAAACAATTTCTCTCTCTTTTTCCATTTCGGAGAATACGTAGTCAGTCGGTTCCCTCAAAACCAACGAAAATAGAAATCCATAAAGACATCGTGTCATCGATCAATCGCTACGGTTTTATTACAAATCGAAACAAAAGAAAGAGCACGGTGAAGAAGAAACACGGAAGATCTTTGAGACGAATGAGTTGCTCCCTTTCGAAGCAACTTCCTTGTAATATCTGTTGGCGAGACAATCCCGACTATAAACAACAATTACATAAACAAATGTCGAGTTATTACAGCAGAAAATTGGTGAAATACTATCTACGCGAGAAAATTGTAGAAAATCTGAGAGAGAAACTCTTCCCTGTGATTTTCGTATCTAGAACATCAGGTATATTTTCATTTTGAACAACTCCTTAGTTTTTCAAATCAACGTGAAAATATGATGATTGTTGAAAGAAACGTTTTATACAAATGCTTGCATCATTTTGGTGCGATGTGATAGATTTGTGAATGGTTCTTGTTTTGTTTAATTCTGTTTTCTCTTATTCTCTTTGATCGCAATTATAAGATTTTCAATACTTGACCACGAAAGTCGCGAAAGTATTTGTGCGACTGATGCGAGTAAAAACTTCCGACATTTAATCAATTAGCTTTACTTAAATTTAGAAGAAAATTAGCTTTAATTCAAAGTATATTATCATTTACAAGAATGTTGAATTTTATGTTATAAAATAATATCGATCGTTCAATGTCAGTAAGCGATATAGGATTCGTTATCTTTAAAGAAAATGTAAAAGAATCGTAACCGCTCTTAGCTTCAATAATTTGCGCTCATAATAAACTTGTCCCCCTGGCGGGCGCGAGTTTAACTAACCAAATTCGAAGGGTCAGAAAAACGCGCGCTTTTCGTCAGCCGCCATATTGCCTACATTTTCAAATCAAACTGGCAACACATAATCCTTACGTTTCCGCGTCGATATAACAGCATCGTCTGTTCTTATTAACATCAACACGGTGCTTGAGGCACGTGGCAAGATATTCCGACAGAATAATAACAAACACATAGCCAAATATAAAATCAAACGTGTTCGCTTACCAATTGCGATACGCTTCGGTGTCGCGCACACTGTTTTCCTTTTATTCTTCTTTCCACTGGATCAACGAGACCAGTCCCTTCTTCTCTCTTTCTTCGGTCAAAAAGGAAGCGAATCACGTTTAAAAAGCACGGTCGATCAATCGAAGTCTCTGTTCCAACGAAACATCAAACGAACAAAACACACGCGATCGCGGAGAAACTTCCAGTTAAAATATCAAAGTAACGTCAAAGAAACGTCGAAGTATCGGTTTCCATGGAGCGTAGCACGATTACGATCGAGTTGAGTTACGTTTCGTTTCGCGATTATTGGTAAACACGTTGTTTGCATCGACAACCACAACAACGAACGTTACTCCGTCAATGGACGAGCCTCGACTGCTGCTCCAAAGCGAGAGTCGCTTTGCTCTACCCCCACTTCCGCGCGCTTCCCCCACCCTAAAGACACGCTGTTTAATATATACATATATAAGAGAAGCTTGAATTTGTTCAATCCCTTTGAACTTTGAAAAGATGATGAAAACTTGTACACTGATGAGCAACGTAGAATTTTATTTCCTTTTCATTTGTTCGATGTCTTGATTTGTGATTTCTTTGACAATTCATTGAAACCACACAGTTACGATAGTGCGAAAGTATACGAAATTTTGTAAGACACTTTTGACGAATATTTTACGCGTGTTGATGCAGCACTTAAATTTTATTAGCAAGATATATATGCTTATATTTTATATGACTTGTTACAGTTAATAATAAATAATATTGTCAAACTATTTTGTATTTGTTGCAGCTATGAAGTTTAACGATAAAATACTTTAGTGAAAAATGAGATATTATGACGTATACATGTAAGTCAATCTCAGTCTTGAAAATTATAAAATTCAATTTATGATTTCAACAAACTCTTCCTGACAAGAGATAACTTATAGTGATCAATCTGACGTTCCCTACGTAGTAAGTTGCTTTTGAGTTTTAAAAAGACAACCAGTTTAGATTAAGAGTACTAATTAGACGGCGAATAAAGATATTAAGCTAAGTTGTAAAATAAACCATGCGATCTGCTTGCGACGCGTTTAACTGATTATGCAGACTCTCACTATTCGTTTTAATGAACTTTTAGTTTATCTTAGGTTTCTTCTTTACGAAAATCCACTTCATTCCAATAAGTTTGCTGCAGTGAACTAACCATTTGGAATATTTGAAAGAGATAGCAAGTTTTCACTTTTTAACTGAACTTAGTAACTGAGTGACTGACGACGGCCAATTGGCTTTTCGTGTAATAGTATATCAAAGTTATATCTGGTACAAAAATTATAAGAAATAATTCACGAATTATTACAAGAATAATTGTGAGAAAATTAGTTCATCGATAGACAAATATATTCAAATAATACGAAACGACAATATGTTCACGCACAAGATTGAAAACAGCCAAACAAAAAAAAAAAAAAAAAGGAAAAATTTCATTTTTAGAAAATAAAATTACGCGTGACAAAAGGAAAGAAGAATAATATTTTGAAGAAACTGGGTGACTCACGTCCGTCGACTAACAGATTCGGACGCAATGCAAAAGATGGCTCGAGGTTTCGAACAAGCGAAACACGTATAATTTGGTAATAGCAGCGTTATCTAGGAGGTATGAGGGTACCGCTATTCGATAAGAGGAGTCCTATCTGCGGAAAGCGCTATATATTGAGACTCGTGGTTTGCGGAAACGTCCCACGCAGTTGCATTTCAATTATTGCTTCTCGTGGATACTTTGCCAAACTCTCTCAAACGTGAACGTCTCTTCTTCCTCGACGTAAGGAGGAAGGAAGGGGCTTGGAAAATTATTTAGCGCAATTGATTTTCGAAATTGCTCCTGCAATTTTAGTAGTAAGACACGTCGAAGATTAGTTCCTTTCTTTAGAAGAAATTACGCATACGTGAAATTATTTCTGCGGTGCACTGTTATTACTTCTCATTTTAAAGGGTTTAATATTTATTTAAAAATTATTTTTTTATTTATTTCACTATTTAAAGGGTTTAATATTTATTTAAAAATTATTTTTTTATTTATTTTACTATTTAAAGGGTTTAATATTTATTTGAAAATTTTTTTATCTATTTTACTATTTAAAGGGTTCAATATTTATCTAAAAATTATTTTTTTATTTATTTCACTATTTAAAGGATTTAATATTTATTTAAAAATTATTTTTTTATTTATTTTACTATTTAAAGGGTTTAATATTTATTTAAAAATTTTTTTATTTATTTTACTATTTAAAGGGTTTAATATTTATCTAAAAATTATTTTTTTATTTATTTTACCATTTAAAAATTATTTTTTTATTTATTTTAATATTTATTTTACTTGCTTCAACTTACCACAAGTCCTTATAACAATTAGCATAAAAGTCGTCGTCAGGACTTTTCGCCATTCGAATATGCAACTCAAAATATCCTATATTTGCAATTATTGAAAATTTTTATCTTAGTAACGAGACATGTATCGATCACTTTCTCAAGATAAAACCATCTACAAAAATTCGAATGCTATCAAACATTCATGCTGCAACTGTGCAATCTCAATTAATTGCAATTGGTCCGAAAGAAATTGCAAATCGACACGTACAAGCAAATAGGAAAGAAACAAATTCCACGTTGCTCGTCGACGTTCGAATTTTACCCCCTCCCCCTACACCCCCATTTTCGAAATCCCGAGGGATAGGACAAACTTCTGACGAAGCTTCTCTCTCTCTTATACATATGTATTAAGCTGTATGCCTTTGGGGTGGGGGTGGCGCGCTGCTGCAAGTGGGGATAGAGGAAAACGATTCTCGCTTCGGAGCGGCAGTCGAGGCTCGTCGATCGACGGAGCAACTTTCATTTGTCCGCGATCGTCCATACAGACGCGCGACAAACAACGTGTGCGGCCAATAAATCGAAGAAACGTAAACGCAGCGTAAACTCGAATCGCGATCGGTTTGCCACGGCTCCGTGAAGACCGGTGCTTCGACATTACGTTTCAACTGCAAGTTTCACCCGCGACCGAGTCCGCGTGTGTTCCGTTCGTTTGATGTTTCGTCGGGACAGAGAACTTCGATTAATCGACCGTGCTTTTTAAACGTGACTCGCTTCCTTTTTCGTCCGAAGAAGAAGAGAAAGACGAGGACTGGCCTCGCTTGGTCCAGCGGGAAGCAGCGTGGCGCGACTCCGAAGCGTATCGCAATTGGTAAGCGAGCACGTTTTCTCTTTATAGTTCGAGCTGTTTGTTATCATTCCGCCCGGAACATCGTGCTACGTTGCATCTAGCGTTTGTTTTAATAAGAACGGCCGATGCTGTTCACATCGCGGCGGGAACGTGAGAATTATGCGCGATGATTTGAAGAAAAGGTAGGCAAACGATGACGATTGAAAGTTTCGCTGGTTCTTTTTCCCGGTTCCTTTCGAATTTGGCCCGCCAACGATTTTTTATTTACGTGGAAAAATTTGACCAAAGCTTGCACAATTTTTCAACGCAAAATGGTTGGTTAAAGTAAAGTTTAAATTTGCACCATTGTTTCTGAATAACTTTGTAAGAAAATCTTCTCCTGTGTCGCAGAAGAAGTCTGTGTTTTGTAATGTTCGATCGGGTACACGAGATTTCTAGTGAAAAGAGATTTTCAGTATGGCAAGAAGGAAAAGAAAACGTGTCACAATATTTCAGCGAAAAGCTTTCTGATTTTTAGTTACGCGAGTAATGCGTAAAGGTAACGATTTAATAATTTAAAACATAGAGAATAAATAAATGAATAGTGAAAATTTAGATTTTCTTTTTTTTCCTTTTGAAAAGGAAAGGTCACGTCCGTTTTATTTGTTTTCCACCACTTTCGTTTATTTCCACTCGCTTCGAAGATTTTTATATAAATGTATCGTGAAAATGTAGAATGTATATCGTAAATAGCCGTATGTGCCGTGAATATTTAAAGGGCAAAGTAAATTATTCTAGATCCTAACCGACAAATATAAACGTCAATATAAAGCTCTTGCATCGCGATAAAATCTGAGAGCTAAAAGAAACGTCTAATAAAATTTATCCAAAGATAAATAATCCGTTTTCGTCGTGTATCAGGGAAGAATGTTGGTTTAATTAAAACTTTCGTTCAAGTGAACTAACCCGATAAAATACGAGGGGAAACCTAATCGACAATAAACTCAATGAACGTGCAGCTCTGCTGAAAAATTTAAACAACTCATCGAAACGGCTTCTCGTCGATTCTTCGTCGGTTCGATCACGTAAACATGGAATTTCTTTTCCAAGGGGGACGACACGTTGCTTCCAGAAACAAAATTCCCACCGGAAATAAACTTCCCTCTTCGAATATCCGTCGGGGTTGATTAAAAACGCACAAAACGAGACTCAAGCTTTTTTTGCACAAAGAATTTCGACGTCGAGTCGAGGTGGGCGTACGTGCAACTTCCTTCACGATCGATCAACGACGTGTTTAATGTCATCGTGCGCCCATTTCGAAAATGGACGTTTTCGTTCCTTCGTGCTGTTTAAATATCTGAACTCGATTCCTCCGACATCGGTGAATCGGGGCGTTAAGCGATTTAAATTCTCGTCGAGAATTGACGAACATTTTTAGCGTAAAGTATAGAAAACCGTAAAGCTAGAAAAGTATTTTTAGCGTAGAAGATTCTGTCCCTTTATTCCAATTCTGAGAAAAAAGGAACGACAGAGAGTGAAAAAGAATTTTCAATTTTCATTCTCGAGAGTCTCTGACATTTTCGGTTTTCTGTTCTAAAAGTTTTGAATAATTATTAATTATTTGTCGCGGACAAAGTGTTTTAAACTATTTCAGTTGCAGATTATTTTAGATAATCTTATCTAAATTATTCCGCAATTTTCATCCTACCTTGAAGACTAATTTTAAATTTCTCGACTTTTTGTTTACGTTTTAAAACGAAACACGCGGATTTTATATATATAATATTATATATTTTAATATTGCTACATATTATTATATTTTAATATTATTATATATTATTTAATAATATAATATTATTATATTTTAATATTATTATTATTGTAGGATTTTATATATATAATATTATGTATTTTAATATTATTATATATTATTTTAATAATATAATATTATTATATTTTAATATTATTATTATTATAGGATTTTATATACATAATATTATATATTTTAATATTATTATATATTATTTTAATAATTTAACGAAATTATTTCCAACCATTATTTGCTCTGAACTCGCGTTTTTTGTTGCTCCGAGACAATAGTTTCCAATTTTATAAAAATTCTCGGAATGAGAAAATATACGAACTCATAAATTCATAAATCAGAGATTTCAGCTGTAACTACGGTGCAAATCTAAAGATTCTAGATTTCAAATTCAT